ACAAACATGCATATAAAGCATATACAAAATAATATATAAACTATGTACAACAAAGATACAAGGAGATATTTCAAAAAGGAATACATTTGTAAGTGAATGGTTCAGGAAAAGCCTCATGTAGAAGATGGTGCTTGAGCTGACACTTGAAGGAAATGAGGGATTCTAAGAGGCAAGAAGGGAGTTCATTCCAGGTACGGTGACAACCAGTGGAGAGGCATGGAAATAGAAGAGGACCCATTTGTAAAGGGGAGTTTCTATTGGTCACAGCAAACAGATAGATAGCTGCTTGAGTTTACTGAGAAGGGGAATAACATGGTTACCACCATGTGGTCTTGAGACCTCAGTTTACTCTTAGAAATGGTCTTGATTTAGAAGAGCATGGAGGGAGATAAGTAAAGGTGTAACAACTGAGTTTGCTATCTATGCTCAGCTGGGGAAAGAGTCCTTCTACAAGATTTTGGTTTCCCAAGAATACACAAGATGGTGGAGAGCTATCTGGTACTTTTAATAATATGCAGGCTACATATCATAATGCATCTTACATGGTCATCAAAGACCCAGTTTTCTATGTGCTTAATTATTGAGACTTGGTACATCTTTAACCAAGAAGACAAGATTTTCTGCCAGTATAAAATAGAGCTAAGGAATGGCTGAGGCCCTGCAAAGATTATATTGTCCATGGTAAAATTAATGAGACTCTCTGGTGAACAGGGTGCTCAGGAAGAAGAGACTGCTAAGGAAATAGGCTCCCAGAGAGGAAATGAAAAAATGACCATGAATGTGAGCCATATTGGAGTCACTGAAGAGAATCAGCTCTCAGACTGAGCCTATTCTGACTGCCAAGAGTAGTCTCAAGGGGCATTAGCAGACTTCCTTGACATGTGGTTTATACTATAAGCACTGAACTCAAAACAAAATGAATTTAACCTAAGTCCTAACTCACCAAACATATATATATATATATATACATATATGTATATATTCTAACATACATATATATACATATATATATCTTCTAACTGAATGTTAGCTTATGGGATGGATTTTAGCACCAGCATTTTAAAACTCTCTAAGTCCCTTCACCTGAAGAAAAGAAGTCTTACTATTCTTTTGTTGTAGCTTTTCTCCCATTTGAGGGGTGAGCCATTTGATCACCTGCAAAATCTTACATGACGAATTCACTTCCTCCGGGTCTTTGCTTCTTTAACTCTCATACCAGTTCCCAAAGGAAATAGGAACCAAGGTACAATGCACTTGATTTTCAATTCTTCTTTTTCAAATGTTGAAAATTCTAGATTTTTTGTTGGTGATTATTCCAGTGTGATTAGAAATTAGGAAATGTTTTAAGTTTCACCAAAATTTATGAGACTTCTGATCTGACATCATTAAAGATGAGTAGAAGAATGGACTGAAAATTCCCACAAAATTTTGAATCATTGTTATAATTTTGTGTATTTCTTTCTATGATAGACATTAAGCTCAAACATGCTTAAAATACTAAATAAATTTGAGTGATGTTACTTGCTTTTCAAACAAATTCAGTTATTTTAAAATGTTGACAGGTAACTCATGGGTCAACTCTTTTTCTCCTATCATTTTTCAGTCTAAGTAATTTTAGACCAAATACAAATGGAAAGAAGGAGAAAAATATAGATAAAGTAATTTCTGCTTTCTATGAGAGGCTCAGAATTGAAATTATGAGTCTACTTAAATCCTACCCTGAGTAGACTTTCACCTTTAAAATTTACCTTTAAATTTTAAATCTTAAATTTCTACCCTTAGTATTAATGCTCCTCTTCTCCCTTTGTTCTCTTCTTACCTACATCATCAGCTTTTCTTCATTGGATCATTATGCATCTCCTACTCTCAAATTTCCCATAACTTCTTCTCCCCACCTCCCTTCTCAGCTGAGAATCTTGTCTCATATTTAACTGAAAAAATGAGGCCATTGTGGAAAACTCCCTCTTTTTCCTCTCCTCCTCATCTCCCATCACTCAGATGCCTTCTGCTCTTATCTTCTCCTTTCTCTGTGTCTCACAAGAAGATATGGCCCTTCTTTCAAGGCAAATCCTTATATTTGCCTTGATCCCATTCCATCTTGTTTTCTCCCACAGATTTCCCCCTCCATCACTTCTCCCTTCTCCTTGTCTACTGGCTGCTTTCCTACTACCTATATAATGCTCATGTCTCTCCCATCCTCAAAAAGCCCTCACAATTCCTCCATCCCCACTAGCTAGCATCTCATTTCTATTCTCCCTAAAATAGCTAAATTCCTTGACAAGGCTGACTTTACAAAGAGCCGCTACTTCCTTTCCTCTTACTCTCTTTTTAACTCTTTGCAGCCTGGCTTCTGACCATATCATTCAACCAAAATGACTCTCTCTAAAGTTACCACTGACCCTGTCTCTATTACATTTAATGGCCTTATGTTAGTTCTAATACTTCGTGGCCTCTCTGCCCTTTCACACTTTCAAGCACCCTTTTCTCCTTGGTACTCTCCTTTCTAGGTTTTCATGAGATTATTCTTTCCTGGTTCCCTTACTTGTCTGATTGTACCTTCTCTGGCTCCTTTGCTTGATCTTCATCCATGTCATGCCCACCAACAGTAAACGTTCCCCAGATCTCTGTTCTGGGCTGTCTCCCTCTATTCTATTTCATTTAGTGATCTCATCACCTCCCATATTTTCAATTATTGTCTCCATGCAGATGAATCTCACACTTACCTGTCCAGGCCCAACCTCTCTTCCAATCTTCAGTGTCACATCTCCAACTACCTTTTAGATATCACAAATCGGATGTCCCATAGACATCTTAAGCTCAGCATGTACAAAACTGATCTCATTATCTTTTCCCCAAAACTTTTTCCTTGTCCTAATTTCCCTATTACTATTGAGGGTACCACCATCTTCTCAGTTACTTGACTCCTCACTCTTTTTCATCCTGCATAGTCAATCAGTGGTCATGTCCTATCATTTCTACCTTCATGACATCTCTCATATATACCCCATTCTCTCCTTTGACACCTCCACCACTGTGGTCCAGGCCCTTATCACCTACTGCCTGGACTACTACAGTAGCCTTCTGTTTGGTCTCCCCACCACAAATCTCTTCCCACTACAGTCCATCCTCCACTCAGCTATCAAAATCATCTTTCTTTAAAATTGAAGATATGGCCATATCACTTCCCCTTTAATAAACTCTGATGACTCCATATTACCTCCAGCATCAAATATAAAATTGCATCTGTTTGGCTTTCAAACAGCGCTTCATAACTGAGTCCTTTCCAGTCGTCTGATAGCTTATTCCCCTCTTCACTCTCTGCGATCCAGTGACACTGGTCTCCTCACTTTTTTTTTTTAGGCTATGCATATACATTCCTATTAAACATATTTTCACATTAGTGATGTTGTAAGTAAGAATTAGAACTAATAGGAGGAACCACCAGAAAGAGGAAACAAAACACAAAAGAAGAAAAACAATAGCTAATAGTATGCTTTGATCTGCATTCAAACTCCATAGTTCTTTCTTTGGATGTGGATAGCATTTTCTATCATGAGGCCTTTGGAGATGTCTTAGATCCTTGTATTGCTGAGAAGAGTTAAGTCTATCAATATTAGTCATCACACAACGTGGCTGTTACTGTGTACAACATTCTTCTGGTTCTGCTCACTTCACTCAGCATCAGACCATACAAGTCTTTCCAGGTTTTTTCTGAAGTCAGCCTGTTCATCATTTCTTATAGCACAATAGTATCCCATTACACTCATATACCACAATTTGTTCAGCCATTTGATGGGCATCCTCTCAATTTCCAATTCTTTGCCACCACAAAAATTGCTGCTATAAATATTTTTGTACATGTGGGTCCTTTTCCCATTTGTATGATCTCTCTGGGATATAGCCCTAGAAGTGCTATTACTGGGCCAAAGGGTATGCACATTTTTATAGCCCTTTGGGTATAGTTCCAAATTGCTCTCCAAAATGGTTGAGTCATTTCACAACTCCACCAACAATGCACTAGTGTTCCAATTTTCCCACATCTTCTCCAACAATCATTTTCCTGTTTTGTCATGTTGGCCAATCTGATAGGTGTGATGTGGTACCTCAGAGTTGTTTTGATTTGCATTTCTCTAATCAATAGTGATTTAGAGCATTTTTTCATATGACTATAGAGGGCTTTAATTTCTTCATCTGAGAACTGTCTGTTCATATCCTTTGACCGTGTATCAATTGGGGAATGACTTGTATTCTTATAAATTTGACTTAATTCTCTATGTATTTTAGAAATGAAGCCTTTATCAGAGGGATTGGTTGTAAAAATTCTTTCCCAATTTTCTACTTTCCTTCTAATCTTGGTTGCATTGGCTTTGTTTGTGCAAAAACTTTTCAATTTAATGTAATCAAAGTTATTCATTCTTGCTTTTTGTAAAGTTCTCTGTCTCCTGTTTGGTCATGAGTTCTTCTGTTCTCCACCAGATCTGATAGGTAAACTATTCCTTGCTCTCCCAATTTGCTTATAGTATAAGCTTTTATGTCTAAATCATGAACCCTTTTTGACCTCACTTTTTTTGTGTGTAGAAGACACCTCATCACCCACCTCAGAGTATTTTTACTGGTGGTGTCCCTCATGCCTAGAACACTTTCCACATCTCTGCCTGCTAGTTTCCTTGGCTTCTTTCAGATCTCAGCGAAAGCCCCCCATGCTATAAGAAGACTTTTGTAATCTCTCTCAATCTTAGTGCCTTCCCTCTGAGATTACCCAAAACAGATTAGGATTTTAAAACGTAAAAAATTTTAAGTGTCAAACTTTGACCCAAGGGATAAAGAATGAAGCTCATAAATTAGTTAAGTGAAAGAAATTTTCATTTTAATTCATTGTCCCATTGAAAAAAGGTTTAATGAGTAAAAAAAATAAGACCATTCAAAACCCCTACAAATGAAAGAATAACAATGGAGTCATGAGTTTGAAGCCAGAAATATAATTTAATATTTAACATCTTGTGTGCTTTGGTTTCCCAGATAAGGTGCTAGAATGTCTTCCTCCATGCAGAAGTCACCTATAAGTTTGATTTATATGATATAAATAGATAAAAGGAAACACTTTAGTTAAAATAGTTTAGTTATAGGCAAGAAGCAGATGATGATTTAAATACTTGATATAAATTTGATTTTATAGCCATAGATACCTGATTTTTCATAACCAACCCATGAAAATAAAGAGTACAAAAACATTTAGTGATGACTGGAGAAAGCCTTCAAAATTAAAAAATTATAACTTTTATATATTTGTGTATATATGTGTGTTTGTTTGTTTGTTTGTTTATTTATTGGGGACAACCAGATGGCATGGTGCTTGGCCTGGAGTCAAGAAGACCCCTCTTGATAAGTTAAAATCTAGTCTCAGACACTTACTTGCTGTGTGACCCTGGGCAAGTCACTTAACCTTATTTGCCTCAGTTTCCTCATCTGTAAAATGACAGGAAAAAGAAATGGCAAATCTCTCCAGTAACTTTGCCAGGAAAACCTCAAATGGGGTCATGAAAAGCAGGACATGACTGGAATGATTCCACAACAAGTATATTTTAGTATATTTAAATAAATATATATATTTAATTTTTAGATATTTATATGTGTATACGTTATATGTACAACATATAACACTTCATGTATTTAACTTTTGTTAAAAATGACATAATTGAAGTGTGTACTATAAATGAGAAAGTATTTGTAAATCACTTTGCAAACCTCACAGTGCTATTATATTACAGTGTTAAATATTATCTATTAAATTATTCTCTTCTGTGTAGAGCTAATGTGAACAGTATTGCTCTTAGGACAAATACTATAAAAATTGTAAATGATGTGCTCTCCTCTAAAACCAAAGATTGCTTAAAAGATGGAAACATATAGAAACAAAGGATCTGGTCAGAATCCATAATCTCTCTTCCTCTCCTCTCCTGTTTCCCCACACAGCTATAATTCTGGATGCAGTTTTCTGCAGCAGGCAATCCCTTCTCTTCTAATGCCAAAGTGATTTCTCTCCATTTGAGATTTTCAAGGTCCATAAGCTTGTAGTAGGAAGGGTAGAAAGGACAGAGGCAGAGAAGCTAAATAACGTTCTTGAACCTTGTAGAGAACTTTGATCAATGGGGGAATTAAATGTTGAGCTATTGAGAGGAAGTCTGGTTACCAAAGGTAAGCTGGCAGTGCTAAATATACATTTCTGAAGCTGTTACTAGTTAGAAAAATGTAAATGAAGAATGTGAGAAGGGATTCAGAATGACTCAAAATGCAAAACTATACCTGTAGGAACTTCAGTTTTTAGATGGCACCCCTAAATGCTTGGCATTAAATAACTGGAATTAAACCTTATCTTTGCAGGTTAATATAAAAATCTGACATGGTGTCAAGTAAATATTGTTATAAAAAAGACTTAGATGGAATGAATACAAGTATGGTGTTAAGAAAATATTAATATATGCAGAAATAATTTACCTTCATATCTGGCAGGAGATTATCAATGTTATCATCAGGATTATTGTGTCAAGTTGATTTTCTTTCTCTACAAATGAAACATTTGTTTTATCTGTAAGTTATAATGATCCACAATGGAAATATTCTTTTTCAACTTACTCTAACCTCTCATTATTCAAAGGATGTTTATATAGAAATAATTAATTTGAAGACATGGAGCATTTTCCTTTAATTCTTCCCTTGATGGAGCCACAGAATGTTAACAGCTGGCATGTCATCTAAGGGAGCAGTTTTAAAACTTTTTGGATTCAGGAATCCATCACACTCTTAAGATTACTGAGGGCCTGAAAAGCTTTTGTTTATCCATATCTACTGTGTTAGAAATTTAAATTGATAAATTTTAACTCATTTAAAAATAGAATAATAGATAAATTATGAGTTAATATAATATGTTTTTATGAAAAATAACTATATTTTCCAAAACAAAAAATTTAGTGACAAGACTGGCATTGTTTTACTTATTTTTGTAAATTTCTTCAGTGACTGGCTTAATAAGAGATAGCTTGATTCTCCTATCTACTTCTGATTTCAACTTGTTGTGATATGTTATTTCATTTGAAGTACATAAAGAAAACCCAGTTTCACACAGACATGTGGTTGAAAAAGGAAGGCACATTTTAATTGGCAAATTACTTGTCAGTATTATGAAAATATTTTGGCTTTTCAGACCTACTGAAAGGGTCTCAAGAACCCCCAGGAATCCAAGGACCAAAGCTTGAGTTTCATTCATCTAGAGAACTAGAAATGATCTAGTCCAACATTATATAGATGGTAAAGTAAGGACCACAAAGGGAAACTGACTTGCTTAATGTCACGTTAGAAGGCAAGCGGCAAAGCTGGTACTCCAACCCAAGCCTTCTCGACTCTGAGGTCTGCTCCTCTTTTCACTACACTTCTGCTTCAGAAGCCCTAGCTACTTCAATCTGTGGAGGACTATTTTCCATTTTAGGACAGACGAGGTTAAATGAGGAAAAACTGTAGGATCAACATAAAACAGCTTCTTAGACACTCAAGAGAAGTAATGTGAAGTTTGAGTTTAATATTCATTTGGTATTTTCAAAAGTAAGTCACAGTATTATGCATAACATTTTTTTCAAGAAAAATTTCTCATTGGAACCCCCAAATCCCATCTCTAAAAAAATTGATACATTGATGAATTTGTGATCTTATTAACATTGTTCTTACTGCAACAGAAGAGACGGCAACCCCATCACAGCTTTTCATCCTTACTCAGAATATAAGAATCAGAAGGGACCTTGGAAGCTATCAACTCCAACTGACCAGGAATCTCCTACATAATACTATTGACCAACAGTCATCTAGACTTTACTTGAAGATCTCCAGTGAGTGGGAACCCATTACCTCCTGAAATGGCCCTTCTACTTCCGTAAGTTTTTCCGTACATTAAGCCTAAATCTGCCTCTGTAACTGCTATCATTCCTACTTCTGCTTTCTGCGGCCAAGCACAGTCTAATTTCTCTTTCACCTGAGAAGCCATTAGATATTTAAGAATATTTCATTCTTAGCAATGCTTTGTAGACAATGCTTAGCAATGTTTTTCTGGCAGCATCAATTAGGACTGTATTCATCACCTTAGGCAGCTAGTACTTATTGAGGTTGAAAAGTGTTGGGAGGTTCCTATTTTGTCATGGATACATACCCCAGAAAGAGATCAGAACTCTCAATGTTAACACAGTTGCATAAATACAGGGGCCTTGGAACCCCTCATCATGGAGTCACCAACCACTACTGTTTGTCTCTTATTCACCTGGTCCTTACTAGATAATTTCCCAGCTCACAGAACCTGTGGGTCTACATGATCATTCCTTTTCAGTCACTCCAGGAGCTCCCTATTGCCCTTGGGATCAAATATAAAGTCCTCTGTTGGGCATTTTAAGTACTTCATAACCTGACCTCTTCCTGACTTTCCAGTCTTCTTACACATTACTCTCTTTCACATAGCCTGCCATCCAGAAACACTGGTCTCCTTGCTCTTCCTCATACAAGATGATCCATTTCCTGATTCCATGCATTTCCGCTTGTTTTTCTTCATGCCTGGAATCCTCTTCCTCTTCATCTCTGTCTCTTGGCTTCCTTGGTCGGTAAGAAGCCTTTCCTGATCCCCCTTAATGGCAGTGCCTTCTTTCTTAGAGCATCTCCAATTTATCCTGTGTCTATCTTTGCTTGCATATAATTTGTTTTCATGTTGCCTCGCCCATTAGACTATGATCTCCTTGAGAGCAGGGATTGTATTTGGCCTTTCCTTGTATCCTCAGTATTTAGTACTATGCCTGGCACAAAGTGGCATTTAATAAATGCTTATTAACTTGACTTGATTTATAGCACAGGCTGCTGTTTCTTCCTGGGAGGTGCCAGTTCCCTCTCCTTTGGGAAGAAGATGGTATTTTAACTCACCTCCAAGTATTCAGTGGACCTTCATCCCTTTCCTCATTATGTATCATTCTTTTACCCTCTCAATATTTTGAAATAATTAAGAAATAATTTTCTTTCTCTTTAATTTTTTTCTCTTCGGTCTCATAATGAGAAAACTTTCCTAATTTGTTTTAAAGGAACACTTCATTGCTCCTGATAACCTGAAGAAAAGAGAAGTATTCCCCAAGCCCCTTTACCTTCTCTTCTTTGAAGACCAAAGTTGGCTTTGAGCATACACAGTGATTGTTTGGCTGTAGCAGAAAGCAAGCATCATATACGCTATGGAGATTATTGCAAAATTGTTTCTGTTCTCCATGCTTACTGGATGCAAGATCTGTATTCCTTTCTTGTAGAACTCTTGTCCATTTTCTCCCATAAATCCTCCACGTGGATCTACCCAACATTCTCTGGTAGATTTCTTGATGTTGTTCATCTTTTCATTCTTGTGGACGTCATCATGCTGAGTGACTACAAATGGATCTTGTGAACAGCTCACTAATTATCCCCCATTCTTGCTTCATGACTGGCCTGTTTCCTTTTTTTGGCCATATAGCTCTCTGGTCATTTCCACATTCATCTCACTTATGCTGTGCAATTCTTTCTTGATAATGTGCTGTGGTAAACTACTTCTACCCACAGTGTGCCTCTCCATTGTCCTCTGGATGTCCTCAAATTTTACCTCCTTAGAGACTGTATCTCTAGGATCACTGCTATATAGCATTACCAGAAGGATAATGATGTTAAAAAGATGATCCCTCATTCCAGGGAGAAGTAATTCAAAGCACTGCAGAATTTCCCAAATGCAATCCAGCTTGCCCTACCATTCAGTTCTAGGCCTGATAGCCTGTACACATGCTATGCACACAACAGTATTCATGATTTTTTTCCTGTGCGGATTACTAGAAATGTTATGAGTGATTACAGATCTCATTTAGAAGGCTCTTCACTCTTCTGGGACTTGACCCAATTGGGGTCACTTGGGGAGCCTCATCATTTATATTCCACTTCTGTTTGGAGTCTGTGCTAACGTCCTCTATGACAGTGGTAAACACATTGGGCGAGCTTATGTTTCCCTATTGTATGCTTCTGTCTCATATTCATATGGTTCTGTGACCTCATTGATTTGCGTGTTCACTCTAACAATGCAGATCATAACCATCAGTGCCTGCCCTTCCTATGTAACCTTTCTCCATATTCTCTAATAAGTTTGCCATAGGCTGTGCAAACAACATGCTGATAGCCTTCCTTGATGTTTCCTGACATCGCAAAGATTTCAGTGGAGCACTTGGACTGTATACTTGTCCTCTCTTGCCACATCACCCTCACCAGACCACCTTCTCTTACCTCTGACAATTTTTTACTCCTGTTTTTCTTTGAAGTTCCTCATTGATTATATATTGCTGCCTGTTCACATCTGCCACATATTTCTTCACTGTCCTTTGTGTGATATTTCAATTCTTCATAAAGGTTTTATGTGCCATGTTTTATAGTCATATAGAGAATATTGGTTTCAAAATATGGAACTTTGTTTCTGAGAGGATATTGGAGGAACTTGGCAATTTTCTGATTTCCTGAATGCAAATCCAATCTGATTTCTCCTTCCTATTTAATTATAGGCCCAATTTATTGTCCATTTTATCATGTGTCTCAGATTGCACCCATACACACACACACACACACACATATATATACAACTTATATGTATATTATTCATATATGTATGTTATGTATTGATAGATTATTATATTCCATAGACTCTCCATCCAATTGCATGCCATGAATGTGGCAATAGACATTTTTCATCCACTCGTTATTTCCAAATTTGATGGTCAGGTCAAACTCTTCAGAGGATTGGTATCTCTTTTAGGAGACTGCCATGTTATAGGACTTGATACAACCAATATAATATCACTCACAAACAGTAGTATCTAGAGGACTCACCATTCACCAAATCAAAATTTGTTTCAATAGTCAACAAACAATAAAATCAGTGGAATCTTGTATTTTTTTGTCAACTTTAGATGTGGTCTGCTTTAGAATATCGTTTTCAGGGGCAGCTAGGTGGCACAGTGGATGGAGCACCTGCCCTGAAGTCAAGAGGACCTGAGTTCAAATCCACCCTCAGACCAAACACTTGACACTTACTAGCTGTGTGACCCTGGGCAAGTCATTGCCTTAAAAAAAAAGGAAGAATATTGTTTTCAGAAACCTGCCTATTCACTTCTCATGCCTTCATGAAGGATAAAGATAGATATTGTTTTCATAAAGATTTTATAAAGATGGCAAAGTAAGCATAGGTCAATGGTTACATTTTCTTGATCTTTTTTTTCTGGTAATAGCAAGATCAACAATTTCTTTTCAAGCCTTTGGGCATCTTGCACCCTTCAGATAACTTGAAATCTTATTTCTAAATACCCTCACAATTATGCCAAATTCAGCACAGATCTACCCTGTATATAAATGGTCCCAGTGGTCCCAACCACTGTTGCCATCTCTTTTACTTTAGTTCTATTTCTAATTCCTCATGCAACACAGTGGGAACTGTGACACTGGAGTCCAGATGTGGTGGCTCTGTTGTGATTTATGGAGAAAATAGTTTGATCTGGAAATACTGATAAATCTTTTCCATTTTTCATGTTTGTTATTCTTCCACTTAAATAGTGGAAGAAAAAGTTAAATAGACTTATATGATTTGAAATGATCTGGTATACTTGTATCTCTCTCTAAGATCTCTGTAAACTTTTTTTCCTTTCACTACTTTTCAGTGTTTTATGGGATAGTACTACTTAATCTTCTATCATCCAAAACATTTAAAAATCAACTTATATTCTAAACTACTATTCTTCTTGGCTATCATATCTCTCCACATGGCAAGACCAAATGTTTGTTGAGTAGGACAATTTTTAGGCTCTTTTGTTCTCCCCATTATGGTAATTAATTTACATCAGCTAAACTTCCACAAGAAATAGTGATATTAAGAATGTCCTTTGTCCTATCCATTTCCAATTTTTCAGTGTCAACAGCATATTTAAGTAGGTCACATTAGAGTTTTCTCAATTATATGCCATATCATCTCATTTTATCTTTTCTTCTTATTTAGTTTTGATTTTTATCTTTTTTCTAAGAAGCAGATGGTTTGCTTTTATTTGAATTCTCCTTCCATAACACACAATAAAAGCTTGCTCAAGATTACATATGGATGACTGATTTGGAAGTGATTCACACATTGGTAAGGAGTTGTTTCCCATCTATTAGACTATAAGCAGTTTAATTTATTTTATGTTATTCAGTGCTCACCACACCCCCCCTCTCAACTTTTCCTGAAGCAAGTATTCATATTATACAGGGGTAAGGCTTCTGTATACTTTCCAACCTTTTTTCCCATTGTCATCTATTTCTACTTTTGCAGTAAAGTCACCAAATGTTAAAACATATGTTAATCTAATTTGGAAGTTCTTAACAAGTTCTTTATAGAATTTCTCTTTCTTCTTATTCTTTGCCACACATATTGTTTCGTAACTTTAGTTAGAGGAGTTATTTTACAAATGCTTATTATGAGTAGTGCTATTTAAGATGCAAGTAGGTTTCTGCTTGCCTTTGGATATCAGATAGGACCCACTTTGCTAACTCTTTTACTTGCTTCTCTAAGGAGAAACTGTGAGCCATTCTTCCAATTATAATTTCATTTAAGGAATTCAGTGAGATTTTCAAGATTGATATGATTCATTTCTTTCCGTTGTATGCCATTCACTGGTCACTGAACAAGGATCTTCATTTAGAGTACAAATAACTTAGTTCTCTAAAAATGGTGGGGTTTTTAGCTTTCTTTTCCCTTTTCTGTCACTCTTCCATAATCAGTCTATAGGTAGAATTGAGTTACACAGGACAGAAAGCCATTTTATGTTTTTGTTGATTTGTGGGTTACCACAGAAGACTTTCTCTGTATTCAGGTAGCCTGGACTTCAAAACATATAGTCTATTATTAAAACCATGCTTGAAGCCCTTCCATCATGAAATAACTTCTCCAAGTTTGTATTTTGCTGGCATAACCCTCAAAAATGAGTATTAGTTATCCTTCTGCCATAAAATGGTTTCAAAGTAGAACTTTGTGGAGGGACATTGAACGGAGGAAAAATAAAAATAAAGAAAAAATTACAATCCTAAAAAATCAAATAGGAAAATTTATCGGCAAAATGAACAGGTCTGTGGACAGATTAACAGGTAATGGAAACAACTTTTAAACAGAAGGATCTGTAAAAGGAAATGTATTGCGTGAGTGTAAGATGTTTCAGTAAAACTTACATGCTTGCAAGAAGGAATAGGTATAAACAACGTGGGCCAGCACAGTCTTTTATAGGGACAAGTTCATCCATGATTTATGTGTTTGAAAAGAGCATACTGAATTCATGAAATGATAACAAATGAAGTCTATGTTAATAATTAATAATCCAAGATGACCTTTTGAATTGGAGAACTATGGGAAAAATATAATTTACTTAGGCAGGAGTAGTTTAATAGTTTAAGAGTAAGACAGGTAAGTGATCCATGGTGGATACAGTGCTGTGTCTGGGGTCAGGAAGACTCCTCACCCTGAGTTCAAATCTTGCCTCAGACACTTACTAATTGTGTGACCCTGGGCAAGTCACTTAACCCTGTTGGCATCAGTTTCCTCATCTGTAAAATGAGCTGGAGAAGGAAATAGCAAACTACTCCAGTATCTTTGTAAAGAAGACTCCAAATGGGGTCGTGAAGATTTGCACATGACTGAAAAACATTTGAACAACAGCAGTTTAAGGGAAATAGCCTATATTTTAAATTTGTTTTAATGCTTTTTTTTTTTTTAAAGAATGGGTCTCTCTATCTTGCCTAGCCCAAAAAGGTGGTGGCTGCTCACAGGTCCAATTTCACTGCTGATCAGCACAGAAACTATGATCTGTTTTTTTGTTTTGTTTTTGTTTTTAACTCTAGCACCCCCTCCTTAGGCAGCCTGGCTCCCTGCTACATTCCCCCTTTCCCTAAGAGCTCCACATATTGGTGCCACACATGCACAGGTGCATGTGATCATGACCAGCTTTTAAGTTTTTGCAAATGCTTTGTTTTGGTAGAGTTATGGATATTTGTCAATCTCTTCAAAGAAACTTTTTGGCTAAAAGTGGTTAGTGTTAGAAGCAATTTGTAAATATTATAAATTTTAAAAAATTTTCTCATAGTGACAACAAATACCGGGGAAAACAAATCCTTAATGAATTAACATGCATAGTCTAACCAAATGTGTTTGTGTACTTGACAGAGATACTTACCGCTGGTAGAAGAAGACCCTGAGAAGAAAAAAAAAAGGTAAAATGTAATGTTGCAAGTCAGTTATTTTTTAACTCGTATTTATGTAGCAGCAATGTAGAGACATCTCAACAAGCATCAGGAGACTGGTACCTCCAATGGGTAACTCCTAATGTGTTCTCTATCAGTGTGGGCTGCATCATACATGGTTTCTGTATTTGCTCCCATTCCTGGTGTGTATTTTCTTTTGGAGTGATTGCTGAGTTTACAGAGGGCATATTGTGCTTTGAACAAGAATTGGCTTTGTCAATTAATTACAATGATGTGATGATCTGTGCATTTAAGTGAATCACATCTGGTGAGCGTGTCTTATTCTCTAGAACAGGAAAAGGAAGAAACCGTAAGCTATTTGGGTCGATTTGGCTTGCTTAGCTCATTATTTGGTAAGAGAAAAAGACCATGAAAAGGGACTGCATGTTTTCATAAGTGTGATTATCACTCCAGTAAAAATTTAGTATTTTGTGTCTCATTTAAAAAATTTATTTTAAAGTATAGGTATTAATTTTAAAAATTAAATTTTGTTTTCTTTAGTCTGATGAATAAAATATTTATGATTGAATATTTAATAAATGTTTATATTTAAAAAAACTGCCTGGGTACACACTCTGACAACATGTACTATGAATGACTGGAAAGGATTTTGGAGGCTGACAACCACATATGTGACCCTGGGCAAGTCATTTATCTCTGTTTGCTTTAGTTTCATAAATGAGCTGGAGAAGGAAATGGCATACCACTCCAATATCTTGTCAAAAAAGAACCCCCAAATGAGGTCCTGAAAAATGACTGAACACCAGCAGCAACACTGCAAGGAGTTGTTGAGGGTAAATCAGAAAGAGACATTTTAATCAAGTATGGGACTAACTAGAATAACTCTAAATTATAAAAATAAAAACTAGTGGAGAGGGTTGTCAAATTACAATTATAATTAAATTATAATTATGTTAAATTATAATCATATTATAATATAACATTATAATTATAATTAAAAATTTATAAATTCCACTCTCTGTATGTGTTTAAATCAGGAATTTGGTAATGATATTCAAGGCTAGTTGATTTAAATAGGTATTCTATTTAAAGGTCAATTATCTCCATCTCAGGTAAAGTATGGCAACTGCATAAGTTTTATCACTTGACCACGTGACTCTGAGACACAGCTGTTACCTGGTGACAATACATAATAATTGTAATTTCATGCCTTTTATTGATGAAGAATAATGTGATGATAATGAAATTCTTATGAGTTAAATCTGAAAATCTAACATATAAAGCCATAACAATAATGTTATAAGAAAGGCTGCACAAATGCAATCTAAGGAATGCTTGGTATGTATGAGTACACCAGAACTGTCATGAAGGTCAGAGTGGAACACAAAACAATTCAGTTCTGTTGACAAGCAGAGTTGATAAGGGGCTGAGATTGGTAGGCTGCCTACTTGAGTGCTCATCAAAGACATATTGAACTCCAATAGATAAATGATCAAAGGATACAAACAGGCAATTTTCAAAAGAAGAAAAGCAAGCTATCAACAACCCTACGAAAATATGTTTCAGATGACTAGCACTTAAAAAATGCAAATGAAAGCAACTCAGACTTTCTGCGACACACCTGTCATATTAACAAAAATGACAAATTTTGTAGGTGCTGTGGGAAAATAGGCACCCTGCTGCACTCTTGGTGGAGCTACATGCTTATTGACTGGCCGACACTAGCTTTGTTTGCAGTTATTTCATGCCACTGATTCATAGTGAGCTTGACTTTTTCTGTCAAGTAAGTCTCCTTCCTTCCATACTCATGTAATTCATTTAAAAAAATCTAAAGGAAGGAGTTTTACATTTTTCTCATATAATCTGATCTTGTTAATTTTTGCCTATTTTTAGCCTTTAATCCTACTCTACTCCCAAATTTATGTCTTCTGAAAATGTAATTAGCATGTCTTCTATGTCTTTATCCAAGTCATTGATACAGATGTTGAATAATATAGGACCAGTGAAAGAATCCTGTGCATTGCACTAGAGACCTCCTTCCAATCTCCTTCCAGGTTGATATTGATCCAACAACCAATGTTCTTTGGAAACAGTCATTGAACCAGTTTTATATCCATCATTATCCATTATCATTATCCAGACCATTCTTCTCTTCCTTGAATTGACATAGTGAAAAAATAATAAGGCAATTTTTGTTTGGAGCTGGAGCAAAGAAGAAAGGAGAATTAAAGAGTGGTGAGTGAATTTGGAATTATCCATAAAGAAGTTTCACAGATAGCTACTGATTAGGGAATTAGAAGCATTACATTAATTACTGATTTCTAGCACCTGGATAAATATCAATTGCTAATCCAAGAATGGGAGAAAGTCTCAGAGAAGATTGTGCCAAACCATACTCAAACACTTACAAGTGACCAGGAACTTGGACTTCCTTAGCAAGCAAGCATTTTAAGCCTTCTGTTCCCCATATATCAGGGGAGCAACAAGGAACAACAGATTTGTGATTCAAGATATAAGGGAAGTGAGGAAACTTAAAGTGACTACAAGGGACCACGCTACAGTTGTATTTCTTTTGGAAGCAAACAGCAACTACATATGTAATCAATGTTAGCATCCCCAAGAAAGGAAAAAGAAGAAGGGCTAAAGGAATGCTTTTCTACCCTCCAGCATGTTGGAGAGGATGAAGGGTTCCCACACAGAACTAAAAAAATAATCTAAGAAAAATACTTCAAAGAGGCAGAGAAGAATCTAAATCTCTTTAAGACGTTGGACTATGGGAGAATTTGTCATAGAAGAGGAGAAGAAATTCCAAATTGGTAAATTTTTATGCCATGGAACTAAAGAGTTGGAAAGTGCCTCAGATGATTATCGATCAATCAATCCATTAACCAATTAATAAGGATTTATAAAGTGTTCTTTGCCAGCATTGTTAGGTGCTGGGTTATTTATCCCAACTGTTGCCCAAAGCATGAATTCCTTCTCTGACATCTAGGACAAGTGATATCTACTTGAAGACCTTCAATGAAAGAAGAAAGTTCTATCTTTCCACGTACCCATGCACACTGCTATGCGTAAAAAAGAGGTTGAATGAGTGAACCTTCTGGAGGCCCCTGTGCTAAAAACAGAATATCTGGTAAATTCTTGATTTGGCTTGCTGATAATTTCATTGTTCAGAAGCCAGCGGAAGGGATGGGAGGAACTGCTGAAATTCTGTACTTGATTTAGACCAAAAAGGAGGAATTGGCAATTTGCTGGTGTAGTACTAAAAATGGGAATCTTGGGGGGGAAGAGTGTGTAACAGATAAAGAAGGGAAATGCCATGCATAGTTTGGTGTATGTTCTACATTTTATGAGAGATCTTTTAAAAATTCAGGCACAAGGTATGTGGGATTCTATGGCTTAGGACTCTGAAAGAGAAGTCAACTTAAGGAAGATGGGAGATAGAAGAGTTATGATTGCATTGTGCCATCTTGCCTTTCATGATTGCCTCATGAAATCAATCCTCTGTCTCCTTGTGTTGGTTTGTGATACTTCCCTAGTCCCTGAGGCAAATGTCCATCAAATCGCTACCCTTATCCTTCTTCTCATGGTGATCTCACTCATTTCCATAGCTTCAATTCAGTGTATTTATGGAGATGGTTTTTCAATCTATATATTTGGCCCTAAAATTTCCTAAAGCTTCAGTCCTTCATTTCCCACTGCTCACTAGATAACACCATTCACATATACTGTGCACAACTGATATTCAACACATCTTTTGATGCTTTTGCTAGGAGTTGTTTTGGTGGAGTTCTATGGAGAATTACTGTGGCAATCTTCAGAGTACAACGGTGGTCACTAGAGGGCAGCATGTTTTCATCAAAAACAAGTCATACCATACTAACTTCTTGTCCTCATGCAAGTCATTTAATAAATATTTGTTGAGTTGAATTTCAACAGGATTATTAGACTGATACCTAGATTTCAACGACTACCTGGATATCATAAAGGTGGACCTGAAGGTAGACTGTTGGGTAGATTCTTAATTTGTTGGGTAATAACCCAAATAATGGTAATTAATTGATGAAAGAGCGGTTCTAGTGAACTCCAGTGGTTCTACAAGGCCCTTGTTTTACTCAAAATTCTTATCATTGACTTAGCTTAACTACGGATGGTATTCTTATCCAACCATGATGGCACAAAACCAGGAAGAATGTCGGCAATGCTGGAAAACAATCTCAATTAAGATAGGTGGATGATCCAAATCAATAAGGACATATGAAAAGTTCTGCATTCAGGTTAATAAAAAAAATTCACCAAACACAAGGGCCATATGTCTAGATAGCAATTCATGTGAAAATAGATTTGAGGTTTTAGTGGCTACAAGCTCAATATAATTAGAAAGTATGCCATAAGTTAAAAATTTGGTTACAATCTAAGTCCATATTAATAGAAATATGGTATTTGTACTCTGATGTTTCATGGGAAGATGGAAATGACCTCAACTCCTTGATAGCAGGGATTGTCTTTTGCCTCCTTTTGTATCTCCAGCACTTTACACAGTGCCTGACACATAGCAGGTATTTAATAAATGTTTATTGATTGATTGAAAGCTACAGCAGCAGACTAGAAATTCTGGAAGTTTCAATTAAGTTGGAAGTCATTAGAATAAAAGCCTTGTAGAACACTTATCTGAGGACCAGTCTAACTATATTTGGAAAGGTGATCGCCAGAAAAAGGTATTAGCCACAGAGTAATACTTTTTTCTTTTGGCCACAGTAACTCAAAACATTTACAAAGGTAGGCTGCAGTAGTGATTTGTGGTAATAGAAGGCCTCACATCAGTGAAACTCATATTTCTTTTGAATTACTAAAGAGATATCCAGAACAAAGGAGGTTATAAGCCTATTGCACACTGCCCTGGTTAGATCACATTTGTAGTACTATTCAGTTCTGGGGGTCATGTATTAAGAGAGATATTGACAGAATGGAGATCATCTAAAAGTTGGCAACCACAAAGCAAACCATCTTGTTTTAAAATACAAATTCAAAGAAGAGCTCTCTGTACACAAATATCTGGAAGAGAAAAAAGAAAGGTAAATTAAAGCATGACATTTCATGACTGGTAAAATACTTACTAATACTGATAGTGACAGTGATCATGGTGGTGATGTTGGTGATGGTCCTGGCAGTGGTAGCCTTAATAGCTAAGAGGAAAAAAAACAAACTTGGTTAAAATGTGATGTTTTGCCCTTTCCCTGTACATTCTCTACTGTGATGATCTTGTCTCTTCCCATGGATTCAATGATCACTTCTATGCAGATGGCCACAAAATCTATGTATTTAGCCATAAATTATTTGGATCAGGAACTTTTAATGATGCTATTGAGGGTGCCGATGGATCTCTTGAGAAGCTAACAAATTACGATATGCTTCATTAATCCTAACAGATTAGTATTTAGGGGCCTCTCTTAGAAAGGCAACAGATGTAGTAAACTCAGGAAGACTTAGGTTTAAATCCTACATCAGACACTTACTGTCTCTGTGCCCTGGGCAAGTCATTTCACTAATCTGGGCCTCAATTTCCTTGTTTGTAAAGCAGGGGAGGGGAGCGGAACTTAATAACCTCTAAGATCCTTTCCATCTCTAAATCCATGATCCTGTGATCTCCATAGGATTAAGTAGGAAAAAGGAATTATTTTTTACAGCAGTAGGGATATCCTAGATATAAGGAAGCTATAGTAAAGATTGCTAAATACCACATTCAAGCACCACACTCATTTCAGAATATCATAGAGATGGAAGATAGAAGATGTATGGATCGAATGCATTGGATGAGATAGATGCCAAGGTGCCTTTCACCTTTCAGATTCTGATTCTACAAAGATAATGAGTATTATCATTTCATAAAAGGAAAAGCAGTAGAAGATAGAAGATGAGCCTGTAGTGAGCTTGGTATGAGACCCACAAAGCCAGATAAATCATCCTGAGAGCTCAAATGTTTCACTGGCATCCAAGAAATACCAAAAAAATCAGAGGAGGCCTATGGTTTGTTGGATAGATTCTTTTTATATAAGATTTATAGAAAGACATGAGCAAGCATCACATAGGATGAGGAGGCATGGATTATTTGTAAACTAAGGGTAGTACCTATAGTGCTGACTTCATGGATTTATTGAAGTATTAAAGTATATGAGAATATATTGGGGGGTGGTAGAGTTAGATCCCCTATTAATAGCTCTCCATCACTAGACCATTGCCAGCAATTAGTTTATCAGATAAACCTAGTCACCTTGAAATGTGCAATGATCACCTCTGAGGAGAAGGGACAAAAAGGCAAAAACATTTCAACTGGTGAGGTAGAAAAATTGAGGGAATGAGATGAGGTAGCAAGGTGGGAAGGAGCTCTGACTAGCATAAGGATGAGTAAGCCCAGTGTTAGGAGAGGTGTATACTAGTCTGATGGGGCATGGTTGACCCTCAGTGAACATGGTAACATTCAACAGGCTTTTTCTCTGCCCTGTACCTATCAAGGCAGGCTAGGCTTGGCTGCTGTCGTGACAGGATGGTGTGATGGCACACATTGTGTCCAGTCCTGTACTCTATCTGCCAGGAAGAGAGAACTTGAGTGGGAAGCAATCAGCAATAAACACCAATGTCAGGTCGGAGTAGTTGAGAGATCAATCAGCAGGAGTATGGAAAGGCATGCAAGAAACCATAGATGAAAGAACCAAGAAGAGAAAGACAGAGGCAGGAAACCTGTATGCATAGGTGTTCAGCGAGCAGGAAGTAAACATGTGAGGACATGGAAAGTACCTGGAAGACTCTGTCATTGCTCACAGTAGAACTCATCTCTATCTCCTGCTTTCTGGTACACTCTAGCCCCTCCCTCAGACTTTAAAAAGTAGATAAGACTAATACTTCAGGAATCCATGATTTTGTCTGTGTGGGTATTCCCTTCACCAAAACACTATGCAATGTCTTATGACTTAGTAGATGATCTTTGAGAATTGCTGCAGATGAAAAATCAATCACTCTGTGCCCAACCCAGTTATAAGTCTACATGAACTTAGGTGGTAGCTGATGTTACAGTCCACCTTCAAGCCCATTCTCAAAGACTTTTTGGATGACTAATATTTTCCTCATCTTGAACTCCAATTGCTATAGTTTTCAAGAAGCCAGGTCACATTGCTGCTGAATGACATCTTCAGGTAACAAGGACATAGTTTCTCAGCTCCAAGGCCAGCTCTCTATCCATTATACCAGATTGCCTAGGTTATCACTGGAAATATGGTGCCGCTCACTCGTGCCCACCAGCTGTGTCTCTATTTTCCTTGAGGTCACCCATAATATTAATTCTCAGAGATTCCAGTGTTCTAAGATTTGCATCCTTAAACAGTATTGCCTGGAGAACATTTGTACTTGGATCTTTGTGCTAGGGAGAAGCTTGGGCTCATTATCACAATGAATCATAATATCACATAATTTCCTAAACGCATTCCAGCTTAATATCTTTCTCCTATCAAATTATGGGTCCAATTCACTATCCATCTGCAGTGTCCATCCAGAATATGTGTACTTAAATCCTACTCCATCCAACTTTATAGCATAATCTAGGAAGCAGGCATTTTCTATTCATTTAGTTGTTTTGTTTTTGTTTTTGTTTTTATTTTTGTTTTTTGTTTTTGGCGGAGGGACTGTTAGGCTGATTGCTTTTGAATAATCATGGATCTCATTGAGGAAACTATAATGTTCTGAAACTTAATACAAGTAACCTAGTTTTATCTACAAATAGGAACAGCTAGAGGAACTCACTCTGTACTGGGAATTCTCACATTTAGAAACTACAGAAGAAGTCCTTCAGAGTTTTAACCTATAGAATGTGAGAATGTCTCTAAGTTTGAGTGAAGTTCCAACCTGTAGTTTAAAGAAACAAGATCTGTACCATAGACTATTAATAGGAATCATGGCATTTATAGTTGAAGTATCTTAGACAGAATCTGATCCAACCTTTCTAAGACATCCAAATATTGGAAACAAGAACAAATGAATCTTGTTTTCAAGTAATTTTCTATTTTAGATAGAGATAAAGGGGGAGAAGGGAGAAAATGAGAAAGAACTGAAACACAGTAAATGGAAAGAGAACTAACTTTATATATTTTAGATTTTATAAGTTGTATATACATACATATGGAGAGAGGCAAACTATTTTAGATTTTATATATTTACATATTATTTATGTATATATGGCTAACTTTGTCTATTTTAGATTTCATATATTTACATATATGTGTATGTATATGTACATATATATGTATATGATAAACTAATTTTATATATTTTAGATTTTAAGGTTAGTCCTAGCTCTGAGTTAAAAAAAAAAAAAAGAAGGAATGAGGATAATAAGAGGCACACGTCTGCCACAACTCTTTCTTCCCAGCTCTGGCATCCTTGTGTTGTCCTGATTGGAGAATTAAATGCTTGAGGTAAGGAGGTGTGAGCCAAGACAGAGTGAAGAAAAACTGACAGCCGCTGAAATGCAGGATAAGAAGAGCTATAAAGACCTTCCTCTTATCTTATCAGGTGTGGCATACAAATAGGATTCCATCAAATTATTTCATTATAGAGATTACTAGTGTAAGGGATTTGTCTAAGTTCATTCACTGACCTCATCACAAAAAAGGGGCCAATTAATGAGGTATTAAATTGACTATGTAATTCAGCCACACCAAGGGATTTCTTAATGAGGCACAAATTAATTTCTTAAGTGAATCAGAGGTCATAATGTGATATGAAGAATGACAGACAAGATCACAAAGACATCGGCCAAGATGTCACAGTAATAATAATAGCTAGCATTTAGAGCAATTGAAGGGCAGCCAGGCAGTGCAGTAGATAAAGAGTACCATGCCTGGAGTCAGGAAGTCTCATCTTCCTGAATTAAAATCTGGCCTCAGACACTTACTAGCTGTTTGAACCTGGTCAAGTCGATTAACCCTGTTTGCCTCAGTTTCCTCATCTGTAAAATGAGCTAGAGAGGAAGAGGAAAATGACAAAAATTTCCCTAATGAATATTGATGCAAAATTTTAAAATAAAACACCAGTGAAGAGATGATAGCAACAGCAAAAAGATCACACACTACGAGCAGGTGGAATTTATACCAGGAATGCAGGGCATGGAGGCCACATGTAGCCTCCGTCCTTGGGTGTGGCCTTTTGACTGAGTCCACGTTTTACAGAACAAATCCTTTTATGAAGAGGGTTTGCTCTTTGAAGTTTGGCTTCAGTTAAAGAACATCAAGGGAAATGAAGAAAAAAAGTACGTTTTGAGTAACGACTAAAATGTTTAAGATCTTAGCATCGTGATTTGGATTCTGAAGGTGCTTACGTTTCGTGAATTGAAACGTTTACAAATTTGCTAAAGTTGTTACAAATAAAGCAGAAAAAATACTGTGTTTGGAGGCAGAAGACCTGGATTTGATAATTACCGGCTTTTGTTATTTATAAGCTCTATGGTCTTGATAAAGTACCAGAGCTACTCTGAATATCACTAAATCTCATCTCTAAAATGGAGAAAGAGGTAAAGAGTTGGACTAGAACACCAGATAATCTCTAAGGTCCCTAAGATCATGATCAGACCATCTAGGAATTACTGGATGCTGTACTGAAGCTCTCTTCCTCTCTAAATTTACACCAAGTTGTAAAGAACAACTCCCTCACCTTTGCACTGATGTGCAAAATAGTAGGGACATATTTGTCCCCAGGCAAAAATGAGAACATAATCCTGTGGGACACTGTGGTCAGAGACTGGAATGCCAATTTAAACATGTTAGGCAGCTACCTTCCCATGATCACCAGCAATACTACAACAAGAACAAAACACTTAAGAACTGGCATTTAGAACTTCTCAGAGGAAGGGGGCTGCAGGTGTGAAATTCCTTATCTGTCAAATTCCATGAATGTGTGGGTTAGTTTTGCTACAGGGCTTTTCTCCCCCTCCCCCTTTCTTTTCTTTTGTTTGCATCAAGGGATGGCTATCTGGCTAGTAGAGGGAAGAGGGAGATATTTAGAAATAGATTCATCTCAACAGCAGCATCTCTAGACACAAAAAGCCAAAATATATCAGTGAAAATTAAAGACCAAGAAAAACCTATCAATCACCACCACCAAAACAATGTTCATTTGTCAATGATTACTGGGATTTAAGCTAAGAAGCCTAATTATAGAGGTGAATCCAAGAGGAGGAGTAGAAGAAGTCATCCTCTCCCTATAATTGTATTTATTTATTTATTTAGGCTAGGCAATGGGGCAAGGTGACTTGCCCAGGGTCACACAGTTGTGTTATGTGTCTTAGGCCAAATTTGAACTCAGGTCCTCCTGACTCCAGGCCTAGTGTTCTATCCACTAGCTGCCCCAAGTGCCCCATATAATTTTAAAAGGCATTCTTTTAGATCAGAGGGAAGAACTTAATAGAGAATCTAATTAACTCGGAAGTACTGAAAGGGAGCTTGTCTGAGCTCCATGAACCCTTAAGTGCCACTGAACATTATCTCTTTTCCCTCTATGTTCCCATTCTTGTTTGTAGCTCTTTGATAGCCTTTGAATTGCATTACATTTATGTAAGTAAATTCATAGACTAAAAGCTATTAAATATCTTGACTTTTACTATACTTACTTGTGTACATATATTAAGTCTCCTGTGATACTGTAAACCCTAGGAGGGAAGTAATAACAAACCCTCAAGCATGGGGTTTAAGAGGAAGACAGTCGGCTGTTGAAGTTTACCAACTATGTAACCACAGGCAAGTACCTGAGCTTTTCTGAGCATTGGTTTCCCCACATGTAAAATAGGGTGGGGCTTATCATTTCATTGAAATGCAGAACTCAAGTGAGGAAGTGTCTTCTACTGATGCAGTTGACACCTTCTGTCTCAGCAACTGTATGGGACGCAGGGAGGACAGAACTTTAACCTGCAGCCTCTGGCTTTGAGGCCTGTTCTGTATCCAACACTGAGAGGTAGCATACTACCTTTCATATGTAAAATAAGAATAACATCACTTATTTAATAAATAGGAATTATTCAATTACTCATAATAACATTATTCTTAATATTGCATTACCAACCTCAAAGAATTGTTGTGAGATGACATTTTAAAAACTGTGACACATAGTCATTTATATATATTGAACTATGGCAGTACAGAAATATATTATGAAGAATAGTTTATTATATCACATTAAATAAATGTGAACTATTACTATGTTATGAAGAAATATTTGTGGAATAGAATTGTGTTCTGGACAATAAAAAGAGTAACAAACATATAAGTATGTTAGAAAAGATGTAAAACTATGTCTTTCTAGTACTTGTCACACCCTGCTTAATTGAAATCATTGAAGGAGAAAAGGTTTTGCTTTAATTCTGTTACTCCCAACAAGAGTGCTGAATAGTTTTTGGGATGATGGCTTTGTAGCTAAAACTTGATCAAGTCTATTTCAAGAAATTTATGAAGCCCACTCTTGGATGGTAGGGTGTTTCTAATGGCCCCAATTCATAACATAAATGTTGTCTGGAAAGTGAACAGGGGAGAGGAAGTGTGAGATAGTGGAAAAACTGAAAAGAAGGTGTATGATGCCAGCTAGACTCACCCAAATCACCAACTTTCTTTTTTTCTCCCTTTCAAAAGACTTCTGGTCATTAATCTGGGGATTCAGCAACATAAAAAAACAGCAGTGCTATGCACAGCACCAATCCTATTGGCCACAAAGAGAGAATTGGCTGATGTTTTAGGGTGTGGATGCTGCTGGAATGGTTGCCCAAACCTCACCTATTATGATAGATAGACTGAGATAACTGAGAGCAAAAATACAAGCTCCGTATTGGCATTGGGAGTTGGTATTGCCTGGTACCTAGGCAGATCCTTGGAACAGGACCAGCAGCTTTTGAAAGCTGTGTCACCTGGTGAGACCCTCCCATATTTTTTGAACTAGGTGATAGGTCCTGTGATCTCTAAAAAGTGTCCTAGGCTCTATTCCTTTTGCTTCTTAGGGAAAGCAGGAAAGGGGTTTGTGATTTGGGAAGTAGAGAATTTTCCTTTTATATTCTGTATGATGAAATGTGTATAGCCACAGGGTACATTGGCTCTAAAGTTATAGAAAAGATAAAATTCAATTAGATTGAAGAAATCTTCCCAGATATGGAGTGGAGATGGAGCCATGGAGAAAGTTATGTGGACATTTCCATCATTCTAACATTTCAGAGTATGGTCCATTTCTTTATCTTAGGCTAAGTTTTTAATCTCACCAGTGTTCTATCTGCAAACTCCGGACACCCAAGTAAAGAAAGTAACAAGCATTTAGTAAGTACCTACTATGTACCCAAAATTGTGCAAATCACATTTCAAATATTATCACATTTGATCCTCACAACAACCCTGGGAGGTAGATGCTATTATTATCAGCCTTTTACTGATGAGGAAACTGAGGCAGACAGAGGTTAAATGACTTGACCATGGTCACACAGCTAGTAAATGTCTGAGGCTAGATTTGTATTCAAGTCTTCCTAAGAATCTCAAATTACAAAAGCCATGGAAAATAGCATAATCACTAGTATACTTAATAGTAGAAAATTCTTTTTTTATCTCCACCCAGTGAAGTCAGAGATTTTGCAGATAACAGAAAAATGGATTGCTGTTTTTCTTTCTGAAGTGCTGGTCCTTACCTGGTGTACAATGTGGAATACGAGGAACCACAAGTTGTTAGGCCAGGAAATCTATTGCTCGCCTTCCATGTAAAATCCAGCATCTCATTCCAAGACCACAGTGTCTTGATACTTATAAGGCGGCCCTTTTCCAGATAGCAAATGTCCATTTCAGGGAACTGGTTTTCCACAACGGACAACTGAAAATTAAATCAATCGTTTTACATTGAAGTGGAGGAAGAATTGAAAATAAAGACTAAAAAGAATCCTTGAAAACAATTACTTTTTTTTGTTTATTAAAAGAATGTTCATTACATTCATCTTTTCATTTTGTATCTTTTTTGTTCATATCATATAATAATGTGGGGTTGTGGCATTGGGATAAAAGTGAACCATAAAAATATTTTCAGACCTAACTTCATTTGTAAAGTTAACAAAAGTTTACTGGTCTCATCATTAATAAATTAATAAAGTTTGTGCACCTGCACTAGGCATTATGGGATAGTAGTTAGAAGAATGTTTAAAAAAAAGACTTCCTACAAGTCCTTTATACACACTGTAAATCCAAAGCTATTCATAAGTATTTATAGCATAGATGGCAGTGGTGATTGTTGTCCAGTTGTTTCAGCCATATCTGACTCTCTGTGACCCCATTTGGGATTTTCTTGACAAACATACCAGAGTGGTTTGCCATTTCCTTCTCCAGCTCGTTTTACAAATGAGGAAACTGATGCCAACAGGGTTAAGTGACTTGCCCAGGGTCACATAGCTAGAAAGTGTCTTAGGCCAGATTTGAACTCAGGAGGATGAGTCTTGCTGATCCGAAGCCCAGCACTCTGTCCACTGTGTCACCTAACTCTCTGTATATGGTGGAAGTGCATATAAATTTCTATGACATGCACACAGACTCTGTCAATATAAAAAGGGGCTATAAGATGTGAGTAGTATATAGACACATCAGAGATTAGAACAGGAAGCATAGTCAATAAAATGTTATTATGTTAAAATTATGTTTTTATCTTTTTAGTGAATTGTAAAGTGGTTGATAAGTTTTTTATCTTGTACAATAAATGAAATGGATAAAAATTATTTATTAAGAGTTCACTATGTGCTAAGCATACTGCTAAGTATTAAGGGCTACAAAAGGGAGACAATCCATCTGCACATAAAGACACATGTATATATACATATATGTATGTAACATTTTAATTATTTTATATATACACACACATGCATGTCTTCTTTCTATGAGAATGGTGGGAAGGAATGGAATTATGATGTAGGAAATCACAGTGGTGATGAGGGTAACAACCAGGCACTCAATTGCCACTCTTTATTTTATTTTATTTTATTTTATTTTATTTTTTATTTTTTGTTAACACGTGTCTTTAAAAAACTTTGGGTTAAAAATTTTCTCCCTTTCTCCCTCCACACCCACCCCCATTGAAAAGGCAAGCATCTCGATACATGCTATAGGTGTGTAGTCATGCAAAACACTTCCATAGTGGTCATGTCATGAAAAACTAAGTATATTTCCCTTCATCCTATCCTACCCCCCATTTATTCTATTCTTTCTTTTTACCCTGTCCTCCTCAGAAGTGTTTCCTTCTGATTATCCCCTCCCCCAATATGTCCCCTCCTCTATCAACCCCTTGTTCTCTTGTCCCCTTACCCCCTTATTTTCCTGTAGGGTAAGATAGATTTCCATACCCCATTGTGTATGTTATTCCCTCCTTAAGCCAGGTCCTGTGAGAATAAGATTCACTCATTCCCTCTCACCTTCACCCATTTCCCCTCCACTGTAAAACCCTTTTCTTGTCTGTTTCATGTGAGATAATTTACCCCACTGTACTTCTCCCTTTCTCCTTTTCCCAGTATAATCCTCTCTCACACCTTAATTTTATTTTTCAGATATCACCCCTTCATCTTCAACTCACCCTGTGCCCTCTATCTATCTATACATACATATAATTTTTTCCCTCCCACTACCCTAATACTGACAAAAGACTCATGAGTTAAAAATATCATCTTTCCATGAAGGAATGTAATATGTCTCTTATGATTTCTCTTTCCTGTTTACCTCTTCCATGTTTCACTTGAGTCTGGTATTTGAAAGTCAAATTTTCTATTCAGCTCTGGTCTTTTCTTCAGAAATGCTTGAAAGCCCTCTATTTCATTGAATGACTATTTTTTCCCCTGAAGGATTATACTCAGTTTTGCTGGGTGGGTGATTCTTGGTTGTAATCCTATCTCCTTTGCCCTCCAGAATATCATGCTCCATGCCCTCTGCTCCCTTAATGTAGCAGCTGCTAAATCTTGTGTTATCCTGATTGTGTTTCCACAATACTTGAATTGTTTCTTTCTGGCTGCCGCGATATTTTCCCCTTGACCTGGGAATTCTGGAATTTGGCTACAATATTCCTAGGAGTTTTCCTTTGGGGATCTCTTTCAGGAGGTGATCGGTGGATTCTTTCAATTTCTATTTTGTCCTCTGGCTCTCAAATATCAGGGCAGTTTACCTTGATAATTTCTTGGAAGATGATGTCTAGGCTCTTTTTTTGATCATGGCTTTCAGATAGTCCAATAATTTTTAAGTTCTCTCTCCTGGATCTATTTTCCAGGTCAGTTGTTTTTCCAATGAGATAGTTCACATTCTCTTCTACTTTTTCATTCTTTTGGATTGGTTTTACAGTGCCTTGATTTCTCATATAGTCACTAGCTTCCACTTGCTCCATTCTAATTTTTAAGGAAGTGTGTTCTTCAGTTAGCTTTTGGACTTCTTTTCCATTTGTCCAATTTTGCCTTTTAGGGCATTCTTCTCCTCATTGGCTTTTTGGACCTCTTTTGCCATTTGGGTTAGGCTATTTTTTAAGGTGTTATTTTCTTCAGTATTTTTTTGGGTCTCCTTTAGCATCACTCTCAGTTTTTCCTCTACTTCTCTTGCATGCTTCTCAAAATCCTTTTTGAGATCTTCCAAGGCCTAGAACCAATTTATATTTTTTCTTGGAGGCTTTGGATGTGGGAGCTTTGACTTTGTTGTCTTCTTCTGGTTGTATGTTTTGATCTTCTTTGTCACCAAAGTAAGATAATATGGTC